GCAGGTCCCCCCCCAGCCCCCCGCAGCAGCAACACAGGGGGCAGCCCCCCGGCTGCCCCCACCACCGCCAGCCGTGGGGATGGGGAGGGGGACGGGCCCCCCCGCACCACGAGCACCTCGGGGGGCTGTGGCTGGATGTTGGGCACCTCCACGGTCTTGAGTTGGACGTTGGGCACCTCCACGGTCTTGAGTTGGATGTTGGGCACCTTCTCCACAGTCTTGAGTTGGACGTTGGGCACCTCCATGGTCTTTAGTTGGACGTTGGGCACCTCCTCTGTGGTCTTGAGTTGGACATTAGACACCTCCGTGGTCTTGAGATGCATGTTAGGCATCTCCGTGGTCTTGAGTTGGACGCTGGGCACCTCCATCATTTGGTGACAGGAGTTGGGCACCTCAGTGGCCTGGAGATGGACATTTGTCACCTCCATCGTCTTCAGTTGGATGTTGGGCACCTCCGTGATCTTGAGATGGATGTTGGGCACCTCCATCATTTGGTGATGGACACTGGACACTTCGTTGTCTTGGAGATGGACATTGGTCATCTCCGTGGTCTGAAGATGGACGCTGGGCACCTCCGTGACTTGGAGATGGACACCGGGCACCTCAGTGGTTTGGTGACGCACATTGGGCACCTCAGTGGTCTGGAGATGGACACTAGGCACCTCTGCGGCCTGGAGATGGACATTTGTCACCTCTGTGGTTTGGGGATGGATGCTGGGCACCTCAGTGGCTTGCAGCTGGACAGTGGTCACCTCTGCGTCCTGGAGATGGACGCTGGGCACCTCCACGGTTTGGTGATGGACGTTGGTCACCTCGGTGGCCTGCAGGTGGACATTGGTCACCTTCGTGGTCTGGAGATGGACGCTGGGCACCTCTGTGGCTTGTAGATGGATGTTGGGCACCTCAGTGGTTTCGAGATGGACATCAGGCACCTCAGTGGTTTCAAGATGGACATTGGGCACCTCTGTGGTCTGCAGCTGGATGTTGGGCACCTCCATGGCCTGGAGCTGGACGTCGGGCATCTCTGTGGCCTGGAGCTGGATGCTGGGCACGTCTGTGGCCTGGAGATGGATGTTGGGCACCTCTGTGGGCTCGAGATGGACACTGGGGACCTCAGTGGTTTGGAGATGGATGTTGGACACCTCTGTGGCTTGGAGATGGATGTCGGGTACCTTGGTGGTTTGGAGATGGACATTTGTCACCTCTGTGGTCTGCAGCTGGACATTGGGTACCTCTGTGGCCTGGAGATGGACGCTGGGCACCTCCGTGGCCTGGAGATGGACATCTGTCACCTCCGTGGCCTGGAGACGGACACTGGGCACCTCTGAGGGCTGTGGCAGGGCTTGGAGCTGGATGTTGGTGATCTCAGAGGTGTGGCAGGGGCTTGGAGCTGGATGTTGGTGATCTCAGAGGGCTGTGGCAGGGCTTGCAGCTGGACATTTGTCACCTCAGTGGCCTGCAGCTGGATGTTGGTGACATCCGAGGGTTGTGGCAGGGCTTGGAGCTGAACATTTGTCACCTCAGTGGCCTGCAGCTGGATGTTGGTGACATCCAAGGGTTGTGGTAGGGCTTGGAGCTGGATGTTGGTCACCTTGGAGGGTTGTGGCAGGGCTTGGAGCTGGACATTTGTCACCTCGGCGGCCTGCAGCTGGATGTTGGTAACCTCAGAGGGTTGTGGCAGGGCTCGGAGCTGGATGTTGGTGACATCCAAGGGTTGTGGCAGAGCTTGCAGCTGGACATTTGTCACCTCGCTGGCTTGGAGCTGGATGTTGGTGACATCCAAGGGTTGTGGCAGAGCTTGCAGCTGGACATTTGTCACCTCTGCGGCCTGCAGCTGGATGTTGGTGACGTCTGAGGGTTGTGGCAGAGCGTGGAGCTGGATGTTGGCCACTTTAGAGGGCTGTGGCAGGGCTTGCAGCTGGACATTTGTCACCTCGCTGGCTTGGAGCTGGATGTTGGTGACATCCAAGGGCTGCGGCAGGGCTTGGAGCTGGACATTTGTCACCTCAGCAGTTTGGAGATGGATGTTGGTGACGTCCAAGGGCTGCGGCAGGGCTTGCAGCTGGACGTTGGTCAGCTCACTGGCCTGGAGCTGGATGTTGGTCACCTTGGAGGGTTGTGGCAGGGCTTGGAGCTGGACATTTGTCACCTCGGCAGCTTGGAGCTGGATGTTGGTGACATCCAAGGGCTGCGGCAGGGCTTGCAGCTGGACGTTGGTCAGCTCACTGGCCTGGAGCTGGATGTTGGTCACCTTGGAGGGTTGTGGCAGGGCTTGGAGCTGGACATTTGTCACCTCGGCAGCTTGGAGCTGGATGCTGGTGACCTCCAAGGGTTGTGACAGGGCTTGGAGCTGGACGTTGGTCACCTCGGCTGCCTGCAGCTGGACACCGGTGACCTCAGGGGGCTGCGGCCCCCGCGGGGGGAGGACGCTGCTGACGCCACCCCTCAGGACGATGACGCTGGCCCCTGCTGGGGCC